AGAGAGTGGAGGAGAGAGACAGAGGGGGGATGGAGAGAGAGGCAGGAAGGAGAGATGTTTGCTCAGACCTTTCGCAAAGAAGCATTTTACATTTTGAAAGACATTTTCTGGGAATCGATCCCCCAAAAATGCCGTTTCCCCTCACAGACACCTTCCCTTCTGTCTACACGTGACGTTGGTCCAGTTTCACTGCGCCAAGTGTAATAACCATGCCGGATGGAACTAATTCATCCTCTTTTAATTTTCACGAGATGAACCTATTTGAAGTACATTTTCCACCTCAACAGACGCTATTGGAAAATCATTTCCCCGTGCGGCTACCCGGGTTAATGTGATTTTGACAGGTCATGATGATTCGTTACTCTGTGGAAAGCTATTAGCTCTCACGGCCACTCAGTAGCGTCATGAATGGGAGGGTGTGGAACAGATTACGTTCTGGACACATTTAAACTATAATGAAATTCGTAGACTAACGAGAGTCGTAATAACGAAAGAATGCGTGCATTACTTACTGGTACCAAAATAGACTTCAGTTCTGTAGGGTTTTACGTATTAACCTGTTTAGCTCTACCTTAGCTTCTAAGGCTGGAAAGTCTTATGATAAATGATAATAATAACTTTTCCAAACGCAGCACAGCAAATATTCATGGCTTAAGAAGAAGGGCTCAGAGATCCATTGAAAATAATTTTCCAAATTTTTGTATTAATTTTCTACATACCAAGACAAGGACACTGTCTCACTGTCTCAAGTTAATAACCTATCTTAACAATAATACATTCAAAGAGCAAAATAACTTTTGACTTAAGATACACATACTAGTTATCAAAAGTTGTACTAAACCTCGGGCCTGATCACAATTAAATGCATATCCATTCGTTTCACGTTCGGTCCAAGAAGGACAAGCCGACAAAAGGATTTCATTTTTCCGTCTACCACGCGAGACTATTATCCCCAAGAGAGTCATACAAGATAGAATCGATTTTGCATGAAAGCCGGCACTTGCTTTACGTTTTCCTTGTATCCCGCATCTTTGATACAGCTGTTGAAGTCACGTACTCTCTACTCTGATCACTCAACCACTGCTGTTACTACTTAGTATGTAAGTGGACATCAGAGTGTCCTCCAAGTTGTTTGTAGTAACGCTACACAGTGACTGGTCTGCGCCGCGCAAGGTCAGAATCCGCGGGCTTCACATAAACTATCCTCCGCATTTTTGGTGGGTCAGCACCGGTGACCCTAGAATCCGAGCGGGTCCGAATTTGCCAGAGCACCGCGGGACATTTCTTCCGCTCATCCCCCGCGTCGCTTCATTGAGACGGAATGTAGCATTATAGCCCGAATGCGTTTGTGACGCACCCCCATTTCAGCACCAAGGACATCGCCCGCGGACGCACCGCCAATGCACTATACTCCAGTCGTAGCTATACGGTAGTGTTATTTGAGTATGCCATAGCATAGATATATACATATTCTTTTTCGTTCAAACAGTCTCTTTACTTAGGACTGATACTGCATTTCTTATAGACGTCAACATGTATACTGGACGATCTCTGTATAAATCCGCTTCAGAAGAGTGTCTGCGATTCCTTTTCTTTATTCAGTGAACGTTAATTTCACTCTTACTTGCACAGACCATGTTAAAATTTGACTGCGTGTTATGTACGATGTATGAAGATTTGCCTTGTGTCAAGGACATATAATCCTGTTAGGGACATGTTTAGGTACCGATGCGATTCGGTGTCTATCACTTGGCAATCACTTCGTATTACTAGTATCATCCTCTTCACCGCATATCAATCAATAAACATACCGATGCGGGTTTTTATTGTTTCCCATTGCCAACTGTCGTGTTCCATCCACCACCCATGTACTCGTATCACTTCGTATGAGAGTCACGGGACAATCATTTCAACCATCAGACTGCGCCCTCAGAGATAATTGATTTAGAAGACGCTTGCAGATACAATTTTGGGTTTTCTTGTGGGCACGTACTTCATATTAGCATCACGTAATGTACTAACATAACAGACGGGACTTGTAAAAATACGTTATCTCCAGTAGTCACTTATTGGTGCCTGCAATTACCACATGGGCAATCAGGAAAGCATAGCCGATACTTTGTAATATTTGTTTCCTAGCGTCTAGCTCACAGACGGTCTCTTCTGGCCGTCACATCTACCGAGTATGATTCGATCGCAAAGTGTATTGCACGTACAAACAAAGGTAACCTAGTGAGCGATGCAGCGGCATAGAAATCTAAGAGCAAACAATCAAAGGAGGCCTTCTGAGGTAATTGATAAAGCAAGTTGGGTGCTTCTTTTGATTCTTTTTATATCTCAAACGCCGTAAGCAAAGTGTATTCTACACATCAAATAAATTTAGTTCAGTCTATTTCAAATACGGGTTGCTTTTATGTGAGATTGTCGTGTCAGCGCGTGAATGTTAAAACATCAGGCAGTAAAAATCTTCTTAAGATGTTGTCTAAGCTGCGCTGGGTTGATAAGACATTTAAAGAGGAGCGGTTAGACCTAGAAATCAACTGAACACGGCCTTTGGTTTGCCATTTGAACAAGACAGCCGTCACTAAATCACATCAGCCAATAGAGCATGCGGAGCGAACGGCAGAGTATCTGAAGGTGAATCATCGGTTACAGTGCGACTGGGTTTATGAAAACCACAGGAATTAATTTCTCTAGACGCCTCCTCCTATCATCAGTCCCCGTTAGTACTATAATAAGTCATTTATCAAAACTTAATGCTTACATTATTTCATTACACTGGCATACAAACCAGTCAGTTTCAATCACATTCTCTAGCTAGCATTTGACTCTGTAATACATATATAATAGCTTTAATGATACTCAATCAAAGGCACTTACTTCGCTTCACTCTGAACAAGCAATCAAGTGAACATAAATCTCAGACAGGGGATCCCTGAACTCTTGATTGGAACAATGTATATTTCATTCACCACTCACCGCTTATTTACAAGTACCAGGCATGCAAGCCTTGTATGGACTTGAATATGCAAAGAACACCATCGTGTCAAGAATAGTACATAGCATGTCTGACAATGATAGGATTTCAGTCTACGCATTTCACAAGAAGGCCACAAGTTGTTGTCAGTATTATCCAATTCACATGAACCTATATAGCTGTACAGCATGAAAAGTACACATTATACAAGTAATATACAGTCATTGATGATGACATTTTGCATATCCTATATCCAAGGATGTTTTGCTCGGTTAAGTTGGCGATACAGACAAGATACCCATGAATAATGCACGCCGTTCCCTGTGGTGTTTTGATGAATGATCCAATTAAACTTGAAACTTTTCTCTGAAATCTGGAGCTGATCTTGTCGGACTTCGCTGTTCGTCATGTCTTGACAACAGTTCGACCCGGGCCGAGTGCGCACCCCTAATATGTAAGTTTATAGAACGTGGAGGTCGGATTGTGGATGAAGAAACGATCGCGTTTTGTGAAGTAGAGAAAGAACGTACACTTCGATGGCAGCAAATACACTCTCTGAGATCCAACAAAATCCAATTTTTGTCTTATTGAGTACATGATAGATGAGTTCAAAAGGAGCGTATTCAAAAGGGTCAGTCAAACGCCTCTGTGAGGCTGTCCCTGGGGAAAGATGGGATCAGATATGACCAAAGAAACGCAGCTTAGGAGGAAAAAGACTGGGTAATTGAATACGTGCTTTGAAAGGCCGCTGTTGCGAAACACTCCCACTCGAATGCATCATCATCCATTTCTTGATGGTGACAAGTTGGTTCTCTGGAAACTTTTAATTGCACAACACGAATGATATATACTTATCACGGAAATAATTTAGATATTAACACACGTTTTTGAGAAGCCATCAAGCCACTGTCGTACAAAACTATCAGTGATCACCAATACACCAGAAACGTCAAATTGAATGTGAAACACGGAGGGGGGGGGGCGATCATTCACAGGGTGGTTTCGCGTTATCTTGAATTCCGGGTGGCTCTATCCCAAGCAATTTCGACTGGTAAAAAGACAGATAATTTCGGCACGCTATGTCTAACCATCACCTTTTCATTCACCGGGTAATCTTTTGCTGATCCGGGGGTGTCCATGCGAGCCTGGCTGGTAATAGTATACTGAGCTGTGAGATTAACACAGTTCTGGATGTTTGCCACTGCTACATGGACAGAAAGTTTACTCGATTCAAACGGTCCGTTGAACTTCTGAAGACGGCCGTCGAAGTAGTGCATAGCGCCATCTAGCGGACAGGAATTGTTAGCACAAAGCCGTACTAGATTTTGCTTTCTACATCGGTGTGTGAAAAACGCCACCTGGCGGTTCTATGACATACTAGTATATTGGAATCATGCCATGGCACTATACAGCTACTAGTATTGACGGATAAAACTTAATGAGCAGAGTATTTGAGCATCATTATCTCATTCTTTAGTTGATTCTGATGATGACATCGCCACATCGATATTTTTTCTTTACAGAAGAAAGAAACAAGAGCAGAGAATACTGTAAGCTCCCGCCTCCCTCAACATAACGGGCGCACAAATTTGCCGGTCAGCAATTCCAATCTGGCATCAGACCAAACCCACGATGCTTAGACAGTTAACGTTGCCATGAAACATTGTAACCTACCCCTCGCCCGATATAAGTCTACCACTCACCATGAGCAAACAAACTGCCATTGGCCTACAATGTTGATCGACTATAGGGCAAATGCCATCGTTCTTCTGGTCAACTAGGTGATTTTTGACCTACACACCCGAACCTACCATCTGTTAAAACAGCAGGGGGAGTTTCCGTGATTATGATCATGAAACTACACATACCTCCATGGAAAACACTTTGATAGCCGGGTCGTCGCAATTCTCAAGGGAGTCTATTATTAACTAGCTTTGCCATAAACTCAGAATTTGCATGTGAGAGTCCAGGAACGTTTTATTCCATTACCGACAACCCCTCATGTGGGAAGTTGTGTTGATACATCCCTGTTTTCCCTATATAAGTAGCATTACAGATAGAGCGGAGCATAACAACCTTTACGAATAAAGTTGCAGTTTTTACCACTAGATCAGTACAAACGTTGCTGTCCAGAATGGCCGCTTTATTGGAGCTGATGACTATGGTCCGTTATTACGTGGATGTGCCGACGTTCCTGGTGGCCGCCTGTGTGTGCCTGCTGACTTTCCTGTACCTGCAGCGACCCAAGAACCTCCCGCCTGGACCCTGGGGCTGGCCGCTTCTCGGGAACATCCCCACTTTAGCTAAGGTGAACACTGAGATTACCTACATTTCCTTCTTCTTCGCTGTATAATTCTCGTCATATTGGTTTTCCTTGAAGACAATCATGTGTTGAGGGTAGATTGTCACCAGTTTTGTCGCAATGTTTGTGGTTCAAGATCCATGTACTGTAGCTGATACAGCGTTCTTTGTAGTGAAAATGTACCAAATGACTAGCTATATGTATACAACACGTCCTGCTAGGATTCCGGCACGTTAATATGTACATATTGCAGGGCCTAAGACAGGCATAACTTAAAATCCACATCAAATCCTTAAAATACAATAATAAGAGTGAATGAATATAGCCAGAATGCGACAACGGTCACACTTGTTTTGCCGACCGTACGGTCACACTTTTGGTGACCGTACGTACGGTCACACTTTTGCCGACCGTACGCACGGTCACACTTTTGCTGACCGTACGTACGGTCACACTTTTCACACGGTCACTTACACAAGCTTCTTTTCGCAGTGTGCCTTTGTGCCTGCCACCTTCACGGAGTGGTCCAAACAATACGGCGACGTCATTTCGGTGAGGATCGGGCTGGATGTAAACATCGTCGTCAGCGGCTACAAGACCATCCGGAATGCCCTGGTCAAGCGGGCTGATGAGTTCTCCAGTCGGAGGATCTACCATAAGGTAGCGGATCTACGTGGTGGGGAGGGAATCGCACCCACTTCAACAAAAGGTGAGATTTATTCATTTCTTTAGGCCACAGCAAGTCATTTTTGTGAATGACATCAGCGCGCGCATTAATTTTCGCCTGATTTTTTTGGGGAAAAAGTTGCCCTCTGACAGTGGTGAACATGCCGAAAATGGGCAAAGATGTACATTGCCATGTCGGAATTTGCCAAGGATGGTAGATAAATATAAAGAGAGGAGACAAGATAAGCCTCTGATTTAATGTTTTGTCGTTTACGCCCTATCGCATTAGATTTGGAGTTTACGCAGGATGCCATCCATAAAATTTACTTGTAAATAGCAAGTGGAAGGGAGGGAGAAAAGATGAAGACACCTCTCCCAGCTCCCACCCCAAATGCACACCAGTAAAGAACTAAGCCAACATCGTTAAACATTATGCATTACACATAGTGAAACTGTAAAGTGGACCTTTTACACAAATTTCCAGTCGTTGAGGCCTTAAATCTAATAATGCAGCACATCTACACGTTGATGTAAATTTGCATTGGTTGCCTGTTGGAAAATGGCAATGAAACCTTATTGTTAAAGAATGAACGGGATTGTTTTCTGTGTACCATATGTCCTACATGCGGCATAAGTCCATGCCATTTATGTTAACTTTCGAGGTAAAAACATGAAGTTTTAATAACAGCGAAAATTTTAAGGATTTTTTTTGTCTTTCCAGGTGTGCTCTTCGCCGCCTATGGCCCAGAGTGGAAACACCAGCGTAAGTTTACCCTGATGACCCTCCGTGACTTCGGCGTCGGCAAGCGGAGTTTGGAGGGTAAGATAGGAGAGGAGGCCAACATGCTAGTCCAGGAAGTTGGGTCGACAAACGGGCAACCATTTGATTTTAAAGAACTGTTGCCGAACGCCATTTCTAATGTCATTTGCTCCATTGCCTTCGGGAATCGATTTGAATATGGCGACCCTGAGTTCGTTCGGCTGATTGGCCTGATGAACGCCGCTGTGGACGCCCAGCCTTCCCGGGATGTTCTTCCAAACATACATCCCGTGTTTCGGCACCTCCCATTCGGAGCGCCAAACCATGACAAATTGGTCAAATTCGTTTTGGACATGCAAGCGTTCTGTAAAGAACAGATACAGAAACACAGGGAGAGCTTCGACCCAAACGACATCCGGGACTTCACAGACGCCTTCCTCCTTGAACAACAGCAGGCTCAGGACGAACAGGCACGGGCGCACTTCACCGACAAGCAGCTGGAAGAGGTCGGTTCAACTTTATTATGTTTACCGAAGGAAAACGTATTGTTTTGCTTATTTCTTCTTCTTCTCCAAACAAATAAGGTCAATGACTTGAACCAGACATCTGTCACCATGGTAACAAGTGCTGGGATATCACGTTGTAACCGTATATGTAATATCTTCTGTTTTGCCTCACTCAGCTACTTTTTGACTTGTTCGTCGCTGGAACAGAAACCACCTCTACCACCACTCGCTGGGCCGTGCTGTATATGGTATTAAACCCCGACATCCAGGAAAAGGCAAGCTAGCGTCTGCATATTTTATCAAGTTAACGAAAAACGCGGGCAACTATTTGACAAATATTGCCGAACGCTACGTTATCTTATCTGATATCTCCTATGACCTTCTGAAGGCAATGGATATACAATATTCTAAAATGACACTTGTGTTTCACCACAGGTTCACCGGGAGATTGACTCAATTCTGGGTCAAGCTCCTGCGTCCTACGATCAACGGAACAGCATGCCCTACACAACAGCGACCCTAGCGGAAGTCCATCGCATCAACACCATCGTGCCCCTGACTGTTCCCCACGCTGCATCCAAGGACACCATCCTCAACGGCTACACCATCCCTGCTGACGCCACTCTCCTTGTGAGATATTACGTTAAAGGCATCCAATGCGATTTCAGGGTAGCAAAACTGGAAATATTCTGAATAGGGTAATATTTGTGATATTGACACATACTGCTGTGATGTGTTTCAGTTTAACCTGTGGTCCGTCCACATGGACCCTCAGCTGTTCCCGGAACCGGACAAGTTCAACCCCGACAGGTTCCTGGATCAGGACGGGAACTTCGTCAAGCATGAGGCGCTCATCCCGTTCTCCATTGGTCAGTGTGGAAATTTAGCATCTTTCTATATAACGTTTACTTAATATACACTTGAGTCTCTGACGGTATGGACCTACTGTGTAATACCGGAAAGAAATATTAGTAAGGACACGGTTAGAGTCCATTCAGTACCCTTAGAATTATGATGACATTGTCTAAATTCACCAGTGATATGACAGTGATGGCTCTTGTAACACTATCTCCTACTGGTTTTCTTTTTGTGTTTCTAGGCCACCGAGTGTGCCTTGGAGAGCAGCTGGCAAGGATGGAGCTTTTCCTGCTGTTCGTCTCGTTGATGCAGCGTTTCACGTTCAATCTGCCAGAGGGCGCTCCATTGCCTTCCACGGTGGGAGAGTTTGGCGGGATCGTCAATGTGCCTCGGCCCTTTGACGTGCGCGCAATCCCACGCGAGTAATGAACATAGCAGGCTAGCAGGTAAAGGATATCGTTCTAATTACAGGAGTTTTCTTCTACACAACCAATAAAGTCGCTGACCTTCTTACGCTGTAAATCAGACACTTTCATCCTCAGAGCTTCTGACTAGATTGCTGCATCTCACCGCCATATCATGTAGCTGATGTAGGTGACGCTTTTGCGGCACGAACACAATCCCAAACGTGACTAAGTTTGTACCCCCCCCCTCGTCCCGGGTGGCTGGTGCATATAGCGGCGAGAAGCAGTACTCCAGACAGAGGCTCTGAGGAAGATGTCTGATAAACATTATTAAAACGTAAGCAAGTGAGAAATTTTATTGGTTGTGTATAAGACAATTGCGATATCCTTTGCTATACCTACCTGATGAAATTATTTTCGGAGCTCGAGTTTTCACAGTTTATCTGCCAATGCGATCTTCTTCTGCCTAAAACCAATGTCAGTCAGAGATTTTAGATGATATTATATTGGTTATTGGGTGGGCAAACTCTCTCCTTGCAGCCAAGGATCCCACCATAGAATTATTTTGTGATTTGTCCTATGTGTATCTGTCCTCTCTTCTCCCTAAAATCAACGTCAAAGGGACGTAAATTTCATTCAGAGATTAAGCCACGGTTTCCCCATGAGATATCACGGAAATCGAAATTAGATTATGCTTTTGTAACGCCGCGTATTTCGTCCATTGTACGTCAATAAGGGCATTGACTTTAGCCTTGTGAGTCCGTGCGCGGCTAACGAGTCCAACATAACACTTCGCATTAGCAGTAATTACCCTCTTGCGTATGCCAATGGGCAGATGTCGTCTGACCTTTGACAATTAGAGATGTCATGGGCCTTGTAAAGCTCTAAATGTGCCAGCAATTAACGTCAAACGGAAGACGGGGGTGGTTTGTACATCGCTAATACATCCCATGGAATCATAAGTTCGCAACACAAATCATTTTAACTTCCCGTGAGTCACTTTTAAACGGCTCCTCCGGTTGTCGTCCAATCCCCTGTCCCCATGTTAATCACTGCCACCAGCCGTTTACGATTGCGGTTGTCCCCTTAAGTAGTAAAGGGACATACAAATTCTCACACTTAGGTCGAGTAAAATGCTGTAGAGCCACAGTCTAAAATCCCAGTGTTAAAGTAAACTCCGGTTAACAACTTTTCTAAATGTTCAGCCTGCACATATATCTCATTGATAACCCTACTTCGTGCAATTCTGCTGTCTGGAAAAGTTTTGCAATGCATAATTCAAGTCACTAAAGTTTTCTAGTAAAAGCCAAACTTGCGAAAACTTTTCTTACATGTTATGAAAGTGGTGGACACCGTCCTCATATCGGTTCACTGATGACAAATCGACCGTTGTGCAAGACGAAATTAAATCGTACCAAGTCGAACACATATCTTGAAAGTCTACAATAGGTTGGGCACCATGACATTGTCATGATTCGATCAATACAGGTCCGATTTGCAGTAGCTGCTGAAATCTGTCAAAGCATTGGGCAGCTGAATCATGTGGAGACGAAAGAAGGCATTTCCCTGAGGAGCATGGCGGCAACAGCAATGTTCAGTAGCCGTGCATGAATTGTTGCTGCCCAGGCAAGTTGTCACGGGGAATTTATAATATGCTGAATGGTTCAAATGCATTTTCTTCTGAGTCAATGGCAACCTTTGGACGGAAATCTAAAATGTGTTGTTGTTGATACCTGATATGACTCCCAGAAAAACATTGCATTTCAGGATGAAATCGCACGCAAGGATTATCAAGGGGACATAGAAATGTCTATGTGTATCTATTCATGGCTTACTTTGTCCCTCCTCTGCACAAATTTCATTTTTTTCACATTGTCCCCTGAATTCAATTTGTCTAGGCATCTAAGCACCTATTTAAAGTGGATTAGAGCAGAGTGAAATTATATCACATTAATTTGACGTCGTTGAATGAAGTCCGACATTGAGGCGACATGCTGACAAAATGGATTTGTATTCAATGATGTTGACTGAGATGAGGTTAAGACTAGAACTTAGCGGCATTACCCAGCGTGATCCCGTTTACAGAGGATAAAGGCGTCAATTTAGGAGAAAAGTTTAGACGTGTCCTGGGACCAGCTTTAGGGATTTAAAGAAAGGTCATGCTCTTTGACTGTGTGCGTTTGAAACTTTGCCTTCGCGGCTCACAACTTTATGGTCTGCAGAGACCTTTGACGAAAGGTCATGCACATTCAATAGATTACCATGATCATTTCTGTCGTAACAGTATGTTACCGTCTGAACGCTTGGAACGTTGATGAATTTTTAATGCTGGATGAGGTTTGTGTTAAAGTTTGCATGGCAGGTTTGGGGGAGGATTTGTGCATGGCGTCATGACCCCGAGGAGGTCAAGCGAAACTGGAGCGAAAATCGATCAAATCTTATCTCAAAACCATAACCGTACTTCAGCTGGGATCGTTTTATTTTCAGCTAATCACTCTCTACGTCAATATATGGACGGTCGAATGAACAAACAGCACTCCACGATAACAACGAGTTACTAGTACTTTGCAATGTCATAATCAGTGCCACAAAAACAGTGCGTAACACTTATTTCCGAATGTTGGTGTCTTGTGTTGACTGTTGGCGTCGAAATATTTTAGTCATTCCTTACATCTCGACTATTGGTTTCAATAGGATCTTTCATTCCCGTCGCATGTTGACATGTTGGCCCTGCACCAAGGTCGTTATATGGGGCTTTGTGTTGATCCTTCAGCTAACGTGCCGGCACCTTAACGGTACAGGCTCGTGTTCAGGCTACGGCCCGATGGACAAGATGGGCAGTTTAGCGACCAAATATCTGTGGTGTATGACCAATAATGCACGCAGACAATAGATAAAGAAATGCAGGCTATATTCTATCGTAATGACACTGTGTATCAGTATAATGTCTTCAGCCAGCTGAACACATGAAAGTTTTATCTTTTCATACGTTTAGACAACACCACTGTCTGATGAATGGTCACCAAGTAAGCAAGACTTAAATTAATTTCAAGGATACCATAGCCTGCCACTGTGGAAGTGGTATACCAATGATTAATCCATTAAGCCTGAAAAATACTTTCAAAAGTGTGTGCTTACTAACTTTCATTGTACGAACATTGTGTATTTTTGATTTGATGTAAATTGAAGTTGCCCAGTGGACTTATACTATCAGAAAGCTAGATAAGTGGTGAATAACATGTATACTGGAAATAATGCCGTCAGCTCTAGAACAATTTCTCTGTATATGGCCATTTATATTCACGTTATAAAGATATGCCTCATGCACTTCTCCATTAGTATGGGTAACACTTTGGTTGGCAATGCATGAATGCAGCAATATGTCGTTTTTCTGACAGACTAAGCAGTGTAAGAAAGCACCTGCTACCGTAGTTGGATGTCAATGAGTGTTATTGAATAAAATCTGGTCAGATATTCAATGCTGTCTGTCGTTTTTAGTCAGCATCATGACCTAGTAACCTCTAATCAGCGTTATGTGATATTGAAACATATTTTTAGTACGTCTGCAGTTCCAAATCAATTTCTGCCTGCTTCTATTGCGCCGATTGCAGCTAATGGAAAAGCCGGTACTTTATTGTCACGAAACCTGATATGAAAGTGGCTGGACTTGACAGGACATAGTAAGATGTTATTTATAGTCCTAAAGTCAAGAAATGAAACTGGCTGAACCTAATGGGAAATAAGAAACACGGGTGTCCAAAGGAGGCTGTAACGTCTATGATGAAATTGACCGCAGGCGACCAGAGCCAGACAAGGTCTCAGACACTCTATGAATCAGGAAGAGAAAATGACTAAAACATGACAGAAACAAGTAAAACGAACTTCCACTTTTCCATTAAATATTTGTCGTCAACTAAAAGACCCCCTAAGGATGTCACATGTACACGTAGATCATTTTCAGGTATGCCCGATGTGGCTAAGTGTGTCCATTAATATTAGTACACAGCTTTACAGTGATAAGTTGTGCTAATAAGTTTGAACTTTCTGCTTGTGTATTTCATACAAACTCGTAGTTTCTGTTAAGTGTCTCAAATAAAATGATTCACATTTATCATATCAACAGCGACAATAGCAACTGGTAGCATAAAATGTCAAAATTGCAAATAGTGACGAAGTCATGCCAAACGGGCCCAAGACCAAGATTCGGCCGTCTAAAATCTTCTATTCAAACTTCATGTAGGGACTACTTTTCACACTATTTGTGGGAAATTCGCAACAGAATCATCTTAGTTGTTTGTACGATCCAAATAATTACAATATAAACGCATTTTCCTCCTTCATAGGAAGAATATGACTTGATAAATCGAGGCTGGCTGCTGTATAACTGTCCTGATTTACAACGCCATCGTGGTTTAATCGCGTGGGAAGGGAGAAATGTGGAACGGACCGATTTGTGGAGACTACAAAACACCGGAAGTGCGCGGATCTCTCGGGGTCTGGTCTGGTGTGTGTAGACGATGTTGCTGTATTCTCATCTCATCTTCCAAATTTTCATGTGTGACAAATTGATTTTCCAAAAGGATGGATACTTCTTCAAAACAGGCCTAGCGTTTGGTGATATTGCTGTATTAGCCATAGGGTCGAGACAGACATCTCGCGAAGTCATGTTTCAATGGATTATTTGTAAAAAAAAATCATGGTTGTATTATTCACGTAAGCTGCAGATTTACACACAGCCAGTGTTGCTGTGTGAATCTAGGTCGTCAAACATCACTAGGCTATGATCAATAGTTTCCAAAATAACACTCTTTTTCACAAATTACAAGCTGGCAGAAATTGTACCATTATCACAACAGTGTTGGGCCAATAAATCTGCCAGTGTGCACAAATTCTATTTATATAGAATGCGATAAAGAGATGATAGAGACAACCGCATGGGAAAACTCAACAAAGTGTAATACAAAGCTGATGGTAGGCTTCTCTGTAACATAATGTTCATATAGTTTTGTAGAGACTAGAGACTGTATTCTTATACCCAGATTGCGTTTATGATATAAATACATTTTCGAGCATGTTTTATCATTTGCTCATCTCAAATCTAATAAACGTTATCCTATCTATTGACAGGCATATATATTGGGTAGTGTATTCCGTTTATTTGTATGGTCTAGGTCCTTTAAACAGAATGCCTCTACTTGTTCGGTCCTGTTAAAACTCATGTAGTTCAGATGTTGTATTGTTTTGCTCTGGAGGTTTCCCTCAGACATTGTTATTCCTGCTCATAACGTACATCTGTCAACATCAGACGTTCTGTATTATCCCTCCATTCAAAATTCTAGTCATGCCCCATCCAAGCTAAACTAGAGTCAACGGAGGCGTTTCCAGACTTCTAAGAAGACTTTGAAGGCTTCATCATCGATAATCATAGGTCTTAGGTACTTCTTTTGATCCCAAATTAAATTAAATTAAATCAAATCAAATCAAACCTGCCATGTCTTGATCATAAGAGTTAAACAAAATAGAACGTCATATTAAAAACATACTAGGTAGATAGGAACCTGATCCCCCAAATAACGTTTTGTGGAAATAATTATTTACCTTGATATCATTGTCATCAACGTTACATGACGTCTGCAGTTCAGTGATTCATGTAACAAAGTCAAGTCTAGTCGAATGAAAACCTTTAAGCCTGTTGAGAGTACTCTCTATCATGTTGTGATGCCTGCCTTAGCCCGGTCCCTCAGGCAAGCTTACAGAGGAGTATATCATGTGAGGAGACTTCTAAGTCTTCTTTGTGCAGATAAGGTGGGCGAAGTGTTGCTGCCTACGCGAAGATGTGGATATTTTGTGTTCAATATGTACAAACACTTGCTGGTCGTAAGATCCTCTCCAAGTTGTCCCTGTAGCTAGCGGTGGCTGGATTCGTAACGTCATTCAGTTGTTGAAGCAGAATGTGACAGCATCTGCGGACGGATGATAACGTTCATGGAAGCGTCTTCCTCATCGGAAGATTCCCTATCTTGTCTGTGTCAGTGTTCCATTCATAGATTCGCACGTCAACCACAGGGCCTAAAATGATGTTGTCCTACAAACCTGTTTTCTAAAATACTATTTAAATTCAAAATTCATCTCTGCAAGGCCGCATTGGTGCTGGATAGTCCAATATAAGTCCCATGCATATAGAAGCAGGAGATAATGGCTCTAGTGTGGTTCATTCATCAGTGCCTTTGACGTTTTCATACTAACATCTTGTGCTCCCGCCATAAGACTTGATTTCATTTCTTTGTGAGAGTCCGTCTACATGAATAGTTTTTGAGGAGATTGTGGAACTACATATTTCATGGAGAAGTTTTCTTGCATCGTTCCCCGACTCAGGTTGTCGCCGCAACAACATGACAAATGTCTGCAAACAGATATCGCCTCTCCAGACGTTTCCTTCCAGAAGACGTCTTCGCTTTGTGCGTGTCACAAAGTCGACTGCACCAGACAACTGTTGCTGCAATCTGATTGTCGAACGTTCTTGTACTCGTAAGATAAGTAAAAATGAAATATAGTCATTTCCTGTGCAGGATCTACACACTCCGTTTCAATTTCAACAGTACCCACGCAAGTGTCTTCATGTGTCAAAATTCATTGTTGCGTTTCTTCTGGTTTTCCCGGTAAAAAAAGTTCATGTCTGCACGATATAGTTGTATGTCAGCCAGTACATGATATTGAACAACAAAAATGCTATAGGGAATCCCCATCTACAGATGTGATCGATGTTTTCTGCCGTGTTGCTTCCGCTCGCGGTGGTGACGACTGTGTCCTCTGCACTGTTCTCCGCATGTGAGTTCGAGTTCGTGGGAAGCGAATTGGCGTTGGAATTGGAGTTCCTTTTCTTCGACGATGGTCTGATGTAGCGTTTTAAGGCTTTGGCTTCCTGTAAAATTAAAGGAACAATTCTTAGTTCAGGACAATTCCTGTCATGGATAGCAAAGTAATGGTTGAGAGATTACAATTCCCCAACAGAGACCGGGGGGCGCCACAGACTTTCTGCAACCTATGATCCACTGCTCACGGAGTTACGTGTGTTATCTGCGTGACGTCACGGAAGCGGTGGATTGCTCATTCCTTGACAAAGACTGGAGTTTTGAGTCCAGTTTTGTTATGTTGGCAATTACAGTTCAATCTTCTTCATAATGCAATTCCCCAACTTTGGCCCCAACCACAACTTTTGGGGGATGACTGAATAACCGACACGCCACGTTTTCCGCGGCAATGACATGTAATATTGGGGTCGGACAATGGAACCGGTCTAACGACTGGTTTGATAGAGGACATTCCTGGAAACAAACGGGCCACGCGAATGAATCCCTGACAAAATGTACGACCTCGGTACGTATAACGACATTCAAAACACCGTGAGTGATATTCGTATTTCATCCAGAGGTTCGCCCACTTTGTATTTTCAGTAAGGATGACAAAATTATAGCTTAAGTCTTCCTTACTAGGTCTGCGGCCCCATTACTCGCCTTCGGAATTGGACCGGTAGCTAGGTTTAAACTGTAACCTTTACTCGTGTGGATTTATAGTTTCCATGAAGCGGAGGTGCAAACGTGGAGGTGTAAACGTGAGGTATTAACGTGGAGGTATTAACGTGAAGTATAAACCGTGGTGAGGGTGTAAGCGTGGAGGTGTAAATGCAGAGGTGTAATCGTGGAGGTGTAAACGTAAACGTGGAGGTGTAAATCTGTGTTATACTTTTGTTTTATTTTCCTGTTTTTTACGTTCCACGAGATGCTGCAGACATCCCGAGTGATGTGATGGCATACTTTAATTTAAGGATCTAAGCGGATCATAAACGCTACTTGCTGCTAATTCTAATTCTATTATCCCATGACCTACTAATCTGATAAAACTATCAACGGGCTCGTATCATGACTCAGTGCCTCAACACTAGAATCATGCTCTAATTAAGTCAGATGGGGTGACCGTTAATCAAAGGATTCCCCTGACGTATACCTTAAGTTAACGTTATGGAAGGAGGATGCTATTATACAGTCATGTGTCATGTCTATATACATAATATGTCTATATATCATGTAGTAATTTGCAGTTATATCAATTTTAAATCAATCAATTTTAAAGATGCTATTAAAGTTGGAGTAAGGTGTGATAATGGTAGTTTAATGAAATTTCGAAAGATCGTCAACTACCCCAAGAGAGCCTCAGCATGTGCATATGGCCCTTTTTAATGGTGAACAAGTTGATTTGACACCTCGGGCTAGTTGGTGGATATGGTTCTGCGATGATCTTCCAGTATGAGAACCCGCTTAGTATTCCACACACCTTACTCTACCCCAGCACCCGTAAAAGGTATAAAATAGCAGAAGTAGTAAAACTAGATGAAACCCATAACCTCAAAGGTCATTTCATGCAAAAAGGTTCCAAACATATTTTTGTCACGGACATGGTTTTATTAATTTTTTCCAAGGACACACTAAAAGAAGTAATTATGGACAGGGTAGAGGTAATCTAGCAGAGTTGATTCCAAGAGAGTCTGAGTCCCGGTCCAATATATGGTCGAATTCCCCAGACACTTGTCCTCATTTTTTTCTAAATTGGAACACGGCAGCCAATATAGTAGACAGCCGGGTGTGTTTTTTATCCACGGTAACGGAACCCTCGTTACATCGCCCTGCGAGGTGCTAAATAATTGGCTGAGAGCCGAGTCGTGACAAGCCCTTGTTACCCCGTCTCCACTAACCAACGGTTATATGAAGTGGGATGAACCACGCATGCGGTCCATTCCTGTCAACGCGTTCAATACAGCGAGATCAAAAATACTTGTAAATTCTCTAGTGGTCCTCTTTGTGTAATTTGAGTTCTTGACCTGGATCATAAAAAAGACCGCGTTACACAATGGAGAAGGTGTTGATGAATTCAGGTCACCTCAGGGAACGGTAAGCTTGTAATGTGCAAAGCGTCCTGCACCATATACAGTTACGTGCAATAGAAATAGCCATTTGTCTTTCTATGGATTTTGTTGTTTCTTATTGAACGTGCATGAGCTACATGTCCCGTGGACAAAAGTAACACTAGACAGGAGTGTTTCCAGGCGTCTGGGTGGTCTATAGGACGGCATTGATCTTTTAGCCTTCTTCTCGTTTATGATCAGAGCCGTTGAAAGAAAGCTGTATATTGAGGGGACTTTTAGTGCCTATTCTCACAGGGACTTGATCTGTGCCCAGCGTTGAAGGCTATAAATATCCCACAGGTGCTTCGTAGAGTTAAGAAAGCAATTGAGATGTAACAGGGGCATCAATTTGCGAAGTTGTCAGAAATTTTTATCTGACTGTGTTTGCGGCATATTTTACACAGGGTTGTGATTTTCCGGGTCAAGAAATCAAACGGGTGTGGCGGGCTTTTGGTGCAAATGAGTAACAAGGTTCACAGTATCTGACAGCACTCAGATCACATTAGGCTCATGGTCCTGCAATGGAGATTGGACATATCTAAGGGCATTACATTCCTGCTGTGTGACATTGATGGTTTTGCACATAACAGGAATCAACGAACGCCCTAGAAGTAGTCAATTAGTGACACGTGCTGTATATTGACCCGCGGTAAATTTTGAAAATGTCAAAATGCGCTAGCAGCTTTCTTCCTCAATATATATTTGCTGTCAAACATGCCCAAAGCTTGTAGCTCCCCAGTCAATTGGCTTTATACTTATACTCCGAAATATGAATTATACCCCATGTGAGGACGCGAACTTTTGAATGACCCTTGTGTATGGAATGAATGAAGGAGAAGGTTTGACTTTACTGTTTGATATCAGATCTAGACTGTATATGACATTTTAATGACCCTTGGCAAATGGCGAAGAAAAAATATTATTAAATCCGAAGAACACGGTTGACCCCTGGCTTCCAATAATGTAGACTTGAGATAATATCGTGACCTTTGAAGAAAAAAAGAAGAAATGTTTCGGAAACTGACTACTTAAACTTGCGTGACTTACTTTCAGTGTTCTTGATATGTAGTTGACGGCAGCGTATTCTATCAGGGCCAAGAACACGAAGAGTTGGCACACTAATAACCACACGTCTACAGCACGCACATATGACACCTCGGGCATTGGAATAGGTCTGCCGCTCTGAAATGAAATGAAACAAGACAATGCAGTGAGGGACAAATTCATTTTTGAAATATGAATGTCTCCTTGGAAATATAGAATTGGCCTAAGGCGACCACTTCAGGGAATAAAACGGCCGCTATATTAAACTGGCCTTCAAATATCTAGAGTTTTTCCTGTCAGGTCAAGATACCGACCAAATATTGCCTAAAGGTTTACAACGGCACTTACAAGTTGAATGGGGTGTGTATTGGGATATCCAACGAAAAGTTCTACTTGGAAGCTGAAAATTTGAATACCAGTTTCCTTCATACTTTGAAGAATCTAATATTTTTACCTATGTTCCTACTCCATGTCCATTTAATGATAAGTTTGTTTTGCAGTTTCTTTGGAACTCGTTGGGATGTGTAGAATACAAGAGGTATTTCAAGGCATCAACTATCTTGCTGTTCAAAAGTAGAATATTTTGTTGTGGCCACCTGTGTGATCATGGTGAGAACTGTGGTGACTCCCAGCGCGGTTCTGGCCGGGGAAGACTCGATGCTGATCCAGAAGGACACCCAGGACATGGCGACGATACTGATGGACGGGATGTAGATCTGCAGCATGTGGTACGACAGACGCCGCCTCAGGGTGAACCTCAGCTCTGCCGTGGTGAACACCAGGTCACCATCAGACGCTGCAGGAAAAGCCATTTCTTTCGTTTTGTTTTACAGTTTAGCATCATCTTGTTAAACCAGCACGGCCATAGCGACTCCTGTCCATGTACATGTACATGTATGTCGTAAAGCTTTTGATTAAAACTCTCAGTGTAGTGTTAAATTTAAATCTTTATTGCCATGTCATGGAGACCGATCTATGTAAAAATATATCTGTGACAATTTCTCGTTGCCAGTGCTTCATGCTCTCCATGATAAATGGCGGACTATTGGGTCATGGTCTTGTTAGGCTCGGTAAAATGGCCTACGATGTGATTATCAATGATCTAAAAGAAATAAAACCATACCCATGAGCAGACCAAAGACACAATCTTCAGGTTTTCTGACAGCCAGCTCGTCTGTGCCGTTCTTGCACTTCCCGCTGAAATAGTTACACGTCCGACACTGTTCCGTGGTAATCTTTTCTACACTGGTACACTGCGCCCGGAGACAATTTTCTGACTCCCTGTAATCACAGGTGACCCCCTGGTACACACAGATCAGTTCTGGAAGGGAGAGAAAGGGAAGAAAACTGATGACTAAGTATTGATGATCTATTCTAGCTGATTATCTACGATGTCCACGACAAAGAGGTATGTTAGCGTTGGCGTTACGTATATCATTCCTGGCAGGACTATGATTCAGACAAAGACTGTAACGATTACGTTTCGTGTTTCTTTGAAGTAGTTGCCCTTCTGCAAAGTCATTGGGGGTCAGAATGGTGCGTTGATCATTGTATTTGACGGCAGAGCACTATGTGCCATAAAACCTGAGCACAGAAATATGATCTTGCATGTCTAATAATAGAATAGTTTCTTCCAGCTACACAGTTATTGATTGCACTGAAGTGCGGGCATACTTACCGGGATAGAGTAATGAATTGACGTAGGCGAAGGATTCTACCGTTTCCAGGGACAGTTGTGAGTGTAAGCCGGATGTACGCGTTACCACGGGCGTGTCCCCGGGAAACCAGAAGGTCTCCCAGCCCCACACTATCTTCACTCCTCCGCCTCATGGAACAAAAACAAATGACATGGAATCAGGGAAACAAAATATGTATCGAAAGACTATACAAATCCGTTTAAAGATGACAGTTCTGCAGTTGACATTCTATCGATCTATTGGTATACATAAATAGCGTGCAAAGTAACGCCTTCAATCATGGTCAATGTGCCGTTATTCTCGAGCTCCATAAGTAGTGGATCTAAACGCTATGACAGGGTTATTTATTGCTGTTACTAAAGTATTAAACCACTTCCGAAAGTCGAAATGAGAGATCGAGCAATTTTAGGATCTGCCTGCCCTTTTGCCTGTGAGTAAGTGCGTCTGATGTCAAGATGCATAGCTACAATGAGACTTTCCATCCATAGGAAATTACACGTCCAGGAGCAATATGAGACTGATGCCATAGTACAGCTGGAGGAATCGCCGTACTAAATCTGATCTTTAACCAGGAACTTTCAGTAAGTCTTCGCTCCTCGTCGCATTCCTAATTTTGAGCTCCGTGACTGGTATTAATACTAAAAAAGGCAAAGTAAGCCTCGATATGATGACGGTTTTCATTGAGGCAAAAATGATCACCAAGATGACCAACGTAGTCAAATCCATGAGATTCTGATCTTATTAAATAGATGACAGCAAAGTAAAACTACAATTTCGGGAATACATGGACAAAAAGGATTCCTTTCATTCAGTGGTGTTTTATTGATGCTCTTTATGACCTGTGTAAAACGTTTGCAAAAAAATAGCCGCCTCTAGTTTTGAAGTAAATCATGTACATAGTAGCATAGTAACTAAAGGGATTATTTATGCTATTCCACAACCCCAGACCTTCGCCAATCAACAACTAGGCTGATAATTTGTAAGCAATACGTCAAACCAACGCCCCCAAGCTAAACTCTGTCAGGGAAGGCATGTCATTCGAAGGCAAAATAAAGGATTTAAGAAATGCATGAAAGCAGCTTTAAGGGACTCCTGGGGGCATCCTGCCCAGACCGATAAGAGCACACTCCATAGAATTAGACATCCCAGTACAATTAGCGCCGCACGTGACCTACATGTGGAAGCGTGATTCCGGCCGGGATATGCCTCATTAGTTCATTCCCAAACCCCGCCAGAGCAGGCATACTACCCCCGTATGTCTCGTCGGTCATGTTCAACAACTAACGAGGAGTAGGTCAAGGTTGTTATTCAACATACCACTTGATTTGAGAATCAGTGTGTATGGTACATAGTCAAGACCTAGGAAAACTTAAAAGTAAAGTTTGGAAACCTAAAGCCGATGAGATACCTCAAATCTCCGCCAGATTTAGCGTGAGGTGGACTATCATTATCAATATTAATGATGCGTCCATCCAAGATGGCGGCCATCTCTTTCGTTATTCCAAGAAGGCTGTGTGAATGAACTTGTCACCTTCTTTCTGTCACACGACCCAAACGTTTCCACCCACCACTTCCCTCGCCACTATTGGCACTAGTCCTGATGATTTCCTTTGTGTTACCCGACTCAGGTCACCTTCATGGAGGTGCCAAAGTCATCTCGCAACTAATCTTGTTTCCAGCATGTCTCTTTCCAATCAATGTGGGTTATTCTTGTATTGATGCTCTCTAAAGTCCGCTATGATGAAAGGGCGTGGGAAGTGCACTTGACTTCCACAGCGTGCGTTTTCCTTCAAGTGTGTGACTAAACAATGTACTTACGATTTTGAATGAGCAGGCTGCATTTTTGATGATCCAATGGGTAGGCGTGAAGCTGCATCAAGCATGTGGCTTTTATCGTGAACCTGTGGCATAAATGACGAAACAAATATTACACGGCAAAGAACATCTGGCAGTCACCGATGATGACTAGATTATTTGTGGGCTCAACATCAATTACTGAATAGACGGGGCAACTGCACAGTCCCGCAGGGTTACTGTCTCGAGAAAACTGCATTACCTAGCTGAACTCCCGGCGAACCTGTACTAATACAATAAAACATGTAATACCTTCTTATTTCGAACATGCACACACTAGGTAAAAGGGCTTTGAAAAGGGTTGCGTGGTGCAGTAACATTATTGCATTGATTTTGCATTAGAGCCGGGTTGCTAGCGTTGGAGCTGGAGTGGTCTTGGTTCTCGAGCAATGGGTTCAACAGATGTCATTTTAGAAGGAGGGCTTTGATCCATAACATGCACGGTTAGAAAGGTTGAAGAAGCCATGTTGTTGCATGGCTTGCTTTGTAAAAGTCATAATGATGACGAATTGACGATAGTATATCTTAACCTTTATACCTTTACGTTTTATTATTCGTTTACATGCAACCCTGGTTCAGCTGACCAGCTTCTTCAAAATGGCCACACAGTTGTTCACAGTTTTCATATAAATCACCATCATCCTATAGATAAGGCGTAAAGCTACTATATAACAATATTGAAATGAATGTAGATGGCATAGTAGTTATATGTACGAGTACCATTGCATCATAAGCACATTCCCTTCAGGTGACACGCTAAGAACAGAGGGGTAGTCTGTGCTGTCTTTTGAGACGACGTCTATCGCAGGCTTCCAAATCTCCATCCCCTCTGGCAGCGACACGTGTTCTGACGTGATGTTCGCCAGCCGTTCGTCTCTCCACTGGCACCCCAGGATAAGGCTCAGGTCAAAGTCCTGGACTCACAGGAAAAGGAAATGGTTTCAGAAACTACAACAGACACAGACAGTGATACATGCCATGTTATAATTAGCATTTATTAGCAGTTCTTCAATTTTTCACTCGCCTTGGACAGTAAGTGATCATTGGGTAGCAGCTTATACAAGCAACTTGATGGATAACATAAGCTTCTTGATCTTGTATGATTGGCTCAAAATGTCCAATTACGACCGCTAATGCATCATATGTGAATGTGAATGCATGCATTTGTTAGTATGAATGTCTGAAATTAGTTGGTCTGTGATGAAGCAAGATCGTGTCCTTGAAGATTCGTGTAACATAACCATTCTCACCATTGTTTTCTCAGAGAAGGCCCCTAAACTGTCGATGTAAATACTGCACACCACTTCAACTGCAGGACCTGGGAGAAGGGAAAGCACAGACGAAGTAAAATGGCACCTTAAGCAGGGACGAGTTGTGTTGTGCTCTGACTCCTCACATGATCCTGCATATTTACACATGGATGTGGTATTGACAAACTCAATATAGGAACGACATCGAAGGAATATTTCAGCTTCAATTGATAAATCTCTAGAGCTGTGTGTACTGGGTACATCTTTGTCTGTGAAGTTCATTTTTTGTAGAGTTAACGTCGGCTGAGGTCGTATCAGAACCCAATACATGTGCATATTTCCTTTCAACCGTCAGTCCTTACCGAAATGAAGACGGAAGATCACATTTTCATCAAGGCGCTAGATCCCATTGGGAATTTGTCTAGATTGACAACTTAACTGACTGAAGAGACTGTTGAAGCGCGGGTATTCCTTATGGAATATTGGCTTCCCGAGTAGCTTGGCAAATTGGTTTACAATATTACGACTTGATTGTTGCCACAGCAGGTTGGTGCCAACACATTTACACCGCATCCTGAGGGCTAAGCCCCAAGGCATTCGACGTACTGGCACTAATGTCCTTGGCATTCTTTTTGGAGTTGTTATTCAACGTTTTGTGACAAAGAATGTGACCGATTTGTGACATATCACTATCACTATCACATATACATTGTGTATGTCACGTATTATTACATAGGATTGCCTGACGTCACCAATCACCCACTATGTGAAAGGTAGCACATTTCATTTGGCTTTACAAATCAGGGACCTAAATCTGTTCACCTTCTTTACCATAGTCGTCGTTTTCACCCTCGTGTTAACGATTTCCCTTTCAGTTGGATTTACCTAATGCCCCATGGGCAACCCTCTCCCGTTTCATTTTCGTGACTGAATGCATTTTGGCGGCGAAACGACAGAACAAGGACTGGTCTCATCATGTCTCCACGAAACTAGGGCAACCATCTGGCCAACAGTATCCCTGATCTCATCTAAAACTTTATCGTCCCTCCGTGCTTCAAGTCATGACTTGATATTTGGTTGAGAACGTAGAGTCAGGTCATTCGTGATGAGAATGACTTCGTTGTTCTTAGACGATGACTCCACCAGGAAGATGAATGATACAATTCTAGCTACTAGTATGCAGGTTCCGTACTGGCTCCCTGCTAATCTGAACAAATTCTTCAGGGACAAACATTGGCAATGTTTTCATTCCACCAAATAGGAGATCGTCCGGTACTTTTGATTGTTTGCCAACAGTAGTGGCGCCAGCAATGAAGCATATAACAAGGAAGGAATGGATATCTTATAATGGTGAGTGATTCTAGTTCATCGAGCTCATAATTAGTACCGAACTTCGTGTCTCTGTGGGCATGACCAACATGCTCGGGTGGTGATTAAAACTAATTACCTTATTTCCTCCAGTACAAAGTTTGCCATTAACATCATCACGCTTGGTTACCAATACCACGCATCACCAATGACACGCATCGCTTACGACGCTTCTTTCCTGTACCAATAACCATTGGCTAGTCTCGGAACAACCGTTTGTATCCAAGGGGAATTTGATAGAGAAGAATATCCACCCCACTGGACGATCCAATGGTAAGCCATTAATTGGAAGTCTTCTCTGCATCAGCCTGAAAGATGCGGTTTGACCAACTGAGTTACATCGTGTTTCAATCACTACAAAGCAATGGTGATGTCCTACATCTCCAGTCAAGTGGTCGACAATTGGGTTAATGGACCTGAAACGGCCCGCATGTTACCCTCTGCGTAGGTATGTTTTGGTATAGAAACACACGACAAAATTGGCATCGTAACAGTAGATTGTTTTTCTATGCATTATAGATTAATCGATTCTCAACTGTATCATGTTTTTTTTCATAGGATCATATTAGTCGTAGCCACTACTTGTAAATAAAGCTGCTTCATCATCACACTGTGTTGTTTTTGGCTGCTGCAATGTATTTATATACCCCTACATGTTCATTATCAGGCATATACATGCAGTGTACGTAAGCCAATCACAACTGACGGTTGGATTTGCACATTCAATCTCTATCGGACTTATTTCCTTAACTCCTAATAGCAGATCAATTGAGGGTCTCGTAGCTGCGTACCCAACCCAAGGAGGTTAAAAAGATGCAGAATAAAGCAAGCACATCCGTGACACTTTCCTTCCGTTATGTGAACCGTATAATGCGGTAGACTATATGGGAAACAAGCAGGATATAAATGACATAGCAAACAATTTATGTTCAGAAGATACATCAAAACCGTTCGTCGGTAGATTCATCTTAAGTTCAGCTCACTTTGTATATCCTTACTGCCTGTTGTTGAATGGGGACACGTAGGCACTGAGAGCCGTGTGCTGTATATGATAACGACGCCTTAGGCCATATTGTTGATGAAGAACCTGGGCCGAGGAAAGATACCGAAGAACATTACACCATCATTATGTCGTCAATAGGCAGGTAAATTCGAAGGTAATTCTCCTAATTCTCAACGCAGACTTTCTGACGACTGTAGCATTAAATCTGATATTGTTGCAATAGGCCGCCTCAGTTTATGAAGGATTTTGCGGTTGCATTGATGTACTTTGGCATCATAACCTCTTACAATAGTGCAGTGACTTGAAAATCAAAACAGCGGTGTTTTTATGTTGCTTTAAAACTTATAAAAGCACAATTATTTGAATTAATTGAACAAGTTACAATAATTTGAGCAGCCTGCATCTATGAACCCAACTGGATATAACGCGACCCAATATCAATGTAAACACATGCCCTCAAAAGACATTGAACTGACGCTTTTTCCATTGTAATAACGTCTGCAAAATGTTTCAGTCATAAGAGATATTCCACGAAACACATATACCAGCCTCCTAAAGCATGGTAACTGTTCCTCCATGCCTCACTAACATTCTGGCAATGATGATACATTAAGGCAGACACTAGGTTCAGGGTTAAGTATGCCTGATTCAATAGTCTCCATGATGACTTTTGGGGTGAATTAGATCTCCTCAATGGTAGGAAACGTTGTTAGGAAACTTTACTCCTTTGTAATATCTACATTATCATCTGCTGCACGTTGTGTTAAGAAATAAACTTAGAGCATACTTTGCACATATTGCACTGCATGTGTAATAAATCGGAAACGTTGCCCGTCGTAGCCAATATCATAAAAGCAAATGGTTGGTCAAATGAAGGGATCTCCTTTTTTCACGATCCACCTGAATGCTTTCGTGAATCATATTGCCAGAATGTTAGTGAGGCACGGAGAAACAGTCACCACGCTTTAAGAGGTTATGGTATATGTGTTTCGTGGAATATCTCTTATGACTGAAACATTTTGCAGACGTTATTACAATGGAAAAAGCGTCCGTTCAATGTCTTTTGAGGGCATGTGTTTACATTGATATTGGGTCGCGTTATATCCAGCCGGGTTAATGGATACATGACGCTGCAAAAGCTGCAAAATGTTCTATTCAACATACATGTGACATGACAAGGTGCATGTGTAATACAATTCTGTTGACGAAAGGAAAGTTATTCTATGTTTACTGTATCTCTCCTGGGGCAAGCAAACATGGCAATTATAAAACGAGTGATTATGTTCTGATGAAATTGTTTACTATTGTCGCTATAATCAAGTATGTCGCCGTAGTGATTACATAATGAGTATTCAGGAAGACTCGGAGAGTCGCAGAGCGACAAAGATTTTTTACGGCGTGCCAAAATCAACTTCATACACCATTGACTCACCAAAGTAGTTACAAGGAACTACAGAGTACAGCTTTGGCAATTACAGCAGTAAAAGTTGAAGGCCATTATTTGGCGTCGGTAAAATGCAATATTCCCCAACGGAGTCACCACAGTACAACGACAACGATATTGCTTGATTTCATTTGTGCCTAGGGAGGACTTCTTCAATTTAGCGGACAGTGCCAGAAAAATGTCGAACGTGCACAGGTCAAATGATAGTATTGGTTGACATAAGGGCTGCTGCTGTGGTACAATAGGTTTTCCTCATGTATTGCTCAGGGACAGCCTTCTTTAGATTGCTATGGTGCAGTTGTGCCGCAGGGTGCGTCAACACAGATTTACCACAAACAACAGAAAGGTCGATTATTCCAGTCATGTAACATTTCCAGTGAGTAATTTGTTTCTCTTCCGTACTGTGCCAACAATTGTCTCGTTTCCAACCACTCATATACATGCCACAAACGTACGCCAGGTTGAATTGTTCAGCGGTGAAGCGCCTGTCTATCATAGTGGTAAAAGACTTTTTGTGAAGAACAATGCTGATTCAGACGTTAAAGTAAAGCGCTCTAACGATAATTCGAGTCTTTGACCAACAAGTTTTGTACAAACGTGCTTAATGACGTTGAGCAAACTCAGTTATGTAAACTTAACTATGCAGCAGGAGCTGTCATCGGAAAATGTCACCGGTGCTGATGTCTCTAAAATAACCTATTCAAGTCTCTCCTAGAAGACGCGGTTTGACATACACGAATTCTCAATTGGCATCGTCTTTCAAGTGTCGTCAACTAGGAAGTTACAAGAACAGTAGTTGACTGCAGTGGTATTTTGCAATCTGTTATCCAATGAGTGCTTTTCAAGTGCGATAGCCCTGACGTCGACAACCAAAACTCGCTTACCATGACAGGCACAACGCTCTTTGTGTATAATCATTGAGGCAAAAGTGTCCTTCGCGGAGGCTGAGGAGCCGATCTGGCGTCTGGAGTCATTTTGTATTACGTTTGTTGTACTGGATGTGAATTTTGCATGAGCTTACAAAAATTCTGCAACATTCACTGACTCTTTTAACTTCCCTCAGGGAGCCATGTCGGAGTGTGAGGTGACCCTTCAATGCTGGCTTTTTTATGGTCACCTGACTTCAATTCACCATGGTCAGGAACAGGTTTAACTTCGTGCTATGTTGGCACTTCATTCTACATTTCAAGTAAAATAGCCAAACCCAACATTGACAGAAGTAAGACGTTACACTGCAGACTAGTTTCCACTGA